CCCCTCCATTCCCTGCGCTCCCTGCCCTGCCCCCGAGTCCTTTTCCTTTCCCTAATCCTCAGCCGGTGACGATGGATCCGCTGGAGGACACCGCGATGAGTGACGAGCATCTCGCCCTGCCTGCTGTAAAACCAGTCCGTGTCTTGAAATCTTCCAGTATTCATTTTCTCAACTGCTAATTTGCGTTTTTTTACTGCTGTTTTGTTATACCGTGGCTGCTGCCCGGCCTAAAGCGGGAAAAACCCCAACTACCGAACAAAAACAAACAAATAAAGCCCTAAACAACCCACCACAAAACCAAAACAACCCAAGGAGCATTTGGGATGTTCCAGCTTGCTCCGTTAGAAAATATTATTTTGGTTCTGCAGGCTTCAAAGCTGAGAGATCAATGGTCCATCCTACATGATAAAATACTTCTGTCAGGAGCTCCTGATCATTTCATCCTTCCCCTCTCCTCGCCCATTCCGTCCTGGAACACTCAATGCATGGCTGCAGGTACAGAAACAGCCCTGCCACAGTAACAGGGCTGATGCAAACAAACCTTTTCTCCTCCTCAAGAGGCACCTCTGGGTATCAAATCTTGGAGGGGTTTGATTGTTTCAGGCCTCTGCACTCTGCATACAAATGATGCCTCTTTTCTCTTAAATAGAAAACAAGTCCTCTTCCTGTAGAAGCTACAGGTTTTTCCTGTCGTGGGATTCCTTTATGGCCTTCACAAGTATTTTCTGAGGGAATCATGAGAATACCAGCACAAACCAGGGTGCCAGCAACCTGGAAACCCAGGGAAAACACAAAAAAGCAGACGTTAAGGACGCAAATAGGAGCTTTTTTGAGGGTGAGTTTTTTGTTTGTTAGTTTGGTTTTATGTTTTGGCCGCGGTTGGGAGGGAGGAAAGGGTAGAATCACTTTTTTTGTTTGGGACTGGTGTTTTTTGGGGAGAGGATTTGGTTTTGGTTTTTTACCTTACCAAAAAACCAAACTTGATCCTAAGGACATGCATGTAGTGAAATGGATCAGTTTATGAACTATTTACCACCAGTGTTAAGGCTTGTGTAAGCAGCTGTGTAGTCCAGAATTGATTTCTGTGAGGAGAGAGATGGCACCAATATCTTCTTTCCACACAACATCTTTCTCTCTTCTCTCTGATTTGAAAAAAACCTATAGAGTAAGGATCTATTTACTTTTAAAAACTGCCTAGGAAATTTAGACAGCATTTCTGATGTCAATAACCCTTTGGCTGTAACTAATTTTATGATTAGATTAGACTTCATAAGTTTGATATATTTAACTACTGACCTCCTAGGTAGTAAAGGTAAGCAAGAACATATTCACTCAGTGGTCATTGATCTGAAGGTGTCCTAGTATGCTTAATAGAAAAGCCATTTTAAGCATTAAATCAGCTTTATCACTTCTCTCAGAAATTTCTTTGCCTCTTGCAATAGTTTATTTATTTAGAGGCCAGAAATGTGCACACTGCTGGGTGGAACTATTTCACACAATGCTACAATGGCACAAAGATACAAAATCCTGGTTTATTCTCTTTTCCTTTTCTGGTGATTCTAGACATTCAAGTAACATTCATTGTAGTGCTTCTGAGCATTGAATGCATTTGTCCAATTTATTTATAGTTTTCAAATGTGGAAGATTTTTTTTATTAGAATCAAATTGGAAGGTGCAGTAAAGGTGGAAAATGGTGGTGAGAGAGTTCTGAAGAGTGAGTTGGGAATCAGGCACAAGGGGAGGACAGGCAGTGAAATTGGAAGCCATAGCTGGAAAAAAGTAAAGAAATGAAAATTTAAAGATTCTGATAGTAATTTAGGTGCACACTGAGGTGTGGAGGGTGCGATTCTCCTTTATTGTGTGCGGATAACCACAGGGGCTGCACAGGGATTGACAGCTTGGAGTCTCCATGTCAGTAGGGTGCACAAAGCCTTAATTTTGCTTGTGCTGCAGCTTTCAAAAGTATTTTCTTTTCCTCTCAGTGGAATTAGACAAGTTCTGTGGTATCTAGTCGTGTTGATCATCACTCTCAGCAAAAATCCATCTCTATTTTTAGCTGGGCTTGTACATTTCATATGAGAGTGCTCTGGGATGCTCATCTCCCTAGGAAGATGATGCAAAAAAGAATAATTCCTTTCCCTCACAAATGTTTCATCTAAATAAAGTAGCAGTATCATAAGGTTTTGCTTTAGGAGATGAACCAAATCTGTATCTGTGATTTCAGTATTTCCATCAGGATACTTTTAGCTGATTTAAAAAACATACCACAGAGAGTTTCTAAGTTAATATTAATTCTCCTAAGGATGTAAAAATACATGTGCTGGCAGATCCACTGAGAGATCAGTGACTCCTTCAGCTCAGCTAACAGCTTTCCTGAAAAGAAAAGCAGATCATTAAAGAGAAAACAAATTTGAAAATCACATTGTTTCAACAGCCTCCTCAAGGGGATGGTTGCCTTTGGGGATGGACGGGAGTGTTGGGAGGAAAGTCAGGATGAGAGATTGAAAGCAGATGCAGAGGGGAAGAGAAGTGCTGAATTGCTGGCACTCCTAGAGTGAGCAAAGAAGTGGAGGCACTCTCTCAGTCATTCCTGCCATCCCCAACCTGTCCTGCAACACTGACCATTAAACATGAGACTGGCCATAAAGTAAAAGATGTCATATAGGAAATGAAGTGTTATTTCAGAATTTAGTGAATTCAGATTGCTTAGAACTCCTTTTCACTTTTTCATAACATTGAAATGTTTGAGTTCCTGAAAACAGGTTGTTTGCTTCTCCTTTTGGTTTAATTTTGTCTATCTTCAGAAGTGTCCTAATACTTCAATAATATACACACTGTTAATTTGTACCCACTGATGCTGGTAAGAAGTTTAAAAAAGCAATACACAAATAAAGCATGCTAAAATAAAACCAAGAAAATTAAACTACATGGTATGGGAAAAGATAAATTTGGTAAGCATTACACAGACAGCCTTGAAATATAGAGTATTTCCCTGAATAACCCAAGCACACTGTAATGCATGAATGTGTTCTATGTACTTTTATATTGCTGTCATATCTACAAGGATTCTATGTAAAATTTGCCATAATAAAAATTTACTCTAAATAATCTGTGGAGTTTATTCTTTTGAAGCTAAAGTATTGCTTAGGAACAAATTAGACTGATACCTGTTGTAGTTCTTCATCTGAGTTTGTCTTAAGAATACTTAGAAAGTGAAGGACCCTGGATAATGATAAAAACTTGATTATTTAAGGTGGTCTAATACAGAGAAGATCAAGAAAATATTACTTAAAAGTAAGCAAAGGCTAAATTTGATAGAAAAAATATTAACTGCACAATAAGCTCCACACAAAGAGATCTCGAGAACTAAAAAGCATCAAGAAATGGATTCTAAAAGAGATTGCAAGTTTTTAACAAAATGCCAATTAACACTGGACAAGGAAGGTGAACTGGGCATTTTGCAAGGCAGAATAACTATACTCATTAAACCACATAAATGAAATTAAATACTTTAATTGAATAATTTGCATATAAATATCTGGGTTTTTTTTCTTGAGTAAGTGTAATGATAAATACTGTGCAAAGACAGTGATTCTAAATCTGTTGGTCTTGGCTGGGTTGGAGTTAATTTTCCTCACAGTGGTTTGCGTGGGGCAATGTTTAGCATTTGCGCTGAGCACCAGGTTGATTAAATAGTGATGTTTCTGTTGTTACTGAGCAGGGCTCACACACAGCCAAGGCCTTTTGTGATGCTACAACGGGTGAGGAAGCTGGGGATGCCTGGGAGATTTTAAGAAGATACAGCCAGGACAGGTGACCCCAACTGCCCAAAGGGATATTCCAGACCTTATCACTTGATGCTCAGAATATAAAGCTGGGAGGAGGAAGGAGGAAGGGCAAGGCATTTGAAGTGATGGCATTTATCTTCCCAAATAAACATTACAGTGATCAGTGCTCTCCCAGAGATGGCTGAACACCTGCCGGCCCATGGGAAGTGGTCAATTAATTCTTTGGTTTGGTTTTCTTGTGTGTGAGTGCAGCTTTTGCTTTCTCTATTAAACTGTCTTTGTCTCAACCCATTAGTTTTCTTGCTTTTACCCTTTTGATTCTCTCCTCAGTCCCACTGGTGAGTGGGTGCCTGCATGGCTCTTGGTTGCTTCCACGATAACTGGAAGAGTTTCATCTGTCCTACAACCATCATCAGTGTGGCAATTCAAAGATAAATAGGTGTTGCCTATACCTGTAGAACAAATAATTTCGAATTAATAGGTATAAACAGATGTATACACTGCCTGGCTATCTGCAAATGAAAATACGTATCAGGGTGGTGGCCAATCTGTATGGTGGCATAACCTGTATTAAATAACATGCATACAAACGATCTACAGAGGGAGAAAAGTAAATCTAAAAGTCCCCATTATCATCTCCCCTGAGAATGAGAACTTTTCAGAAAAGTGGTGAGAAAGGACAAACAAAAAAAACCAGTGATGGCTCAAATGCAAAAATGTGCAAAATTACCAAGCAAAACCTTTTCACATTCAAGAAGCATTGTATAGTAAGAGGCATTGGAAATAGGAAAAAGAGGGGGAGGATCAAACAAATTGAGAAATAGCTGACCAGCAAAAATCTCCAAACCTGTGCACTACACACAGGTATAATTCCCAGAGGATAACTCCTGCCAAGAAAGACAGTATATAGCTACTGTATAGGATAGCATTTATTTGACAACCCTTCCAGAACAAAGTAAAAATAGCTCAAATTTATATTCATAGTAAATTTAAATAACACCGCAGAATAAATAAAAGTAAGTGTGTACATGCAAATCTTGAAGCTTTTTAGGAGTCATTTCAGCAGAATGGACTCATGCAGCCAACAGACAATCCAGCAAAAAATTACACCACCAGACCACCTTTTTTGTGTTCAAAAAGTAATACATTGTAAAGAAGGAAATAAAAAAAAGTAATGCTTTATTATGTTTCAATAAAGAATAGGACCATGACAATTATCCAACACTTACAACATCTTAAAAAGCACAGACATAATGCAGATTGTTTCACGGGTACAACAATAAGAGATAGAAATCAGTTCTTTCATTAGGTCACCGGTCCCATAAAAACAGCAAAACCACATATTATTAAGTCAGAGATGTGGGACAGACAAGGCTTCCCTACAAGGACCAAAAAAAAAAAA